CTCTCTCTTTCACACACACACACACACACACACATACGCACACACACACACACACACACACACACACACACACACACACACTCGGTACACACTCACATTCCCCGCTTGCTCACTCTCTCACTGTCTATCATGGCCGGCCTCGTTCACATCCCTCGGCTTGGCAGTTGAGGACGGGTCATTCCATGAGAAGTGACGCACGTAATACGGAGATAATGACCCGGTGAAAAAAGAAATCCAAGCATTGATGGAGCCATTCTATACGATACGTTTTTTTTAAATACTTTTTTTTTAAAACTTAAATCTTTAAAAAAATTATTATCTTTATTCTGTTTTTTATTTTTATTTTCTTTATTTATTTTTGGGGGTTGGGGGTGCAACCGTCCTTTAACAAATAATAAATGAAGAATTGCTCTATCATTTCTTAGATTTTTTTTCCTCAGCGGTTTATTATCCCTGCGTTAAGTGTGTCATTTTTTTCACGGAATGGCCCAGATACGTAGTCGAGTAACATGACTCAACGTCGATAAACATCCGACTTGGCTCCGAATATTTGAGTGCTCGAATACTCGTTCGAACCCATGTTCTTTTGAGTCAAGAAATCCTTTGAGTTTAAATTGACGCTGACATTTCGCTAAGAACAAACATTAAAGTACTGGAACTCTAATCGCAATGAAATGTAACGCCAACGACGACAGCAAATACAACAACATCAACGAGAAAAACAACCATCAAAACCCAACGATATTTGCGACAGGAACACCATTTAACCCTATCCGTACGCTCTGAGGTCATTTTGTACCCCCGGGGTTGTATTCTTCACATTTTAGTATAATTGGCCAATAGGCGAAACGTTGATTTGTGTCTATTAAACAAATTTGTAACTTTAAATTAATTTTGTCTGAAAATCAAACAAGATTCTCCCTCTTACTTCCAAACAATGATGATGATGATGATGATGATGATATTATGAAAAGTATTTATCTTGTCCTTCGAGCAATGGACTCGAGTAACTCACTCTTATGAGAGAGGAAATCGATCCTGCAGAAACCTTGCAATGGCCAGGGTTCACCCGACACCGCTCAATAAATCCTTGACCCCTTCTTCCCCCCCTCTCTCTCTCTCTCTCTCTCTCTCTCGCTCTCTCTCGCTCTGTCTCACTCACACTCACTCTCACTCTCTTTCTCTCTCTCTCT